AGGCTTTCTCTAGTTGCGACGAGCGGGGGCTACTCTTCGTTGCGGTGCGCGGGCTTCTCACTGCGGTGGCTTCTCTTGTTGTTGAGCACGGGCTCTAGGACTGCAGACTTCAGTAGTGTGGCACATGGGCTCTAGAGCGCAGGCTCAGTAGTTGTGGCACACGGGCTTAGTTGCTCCGCAGCATGTGAGATCTTCCTGGACCAAGGCTCGAACCCGTGTCCCCTGCATTGGCAGGCGGATTCTTAACCGCTGAGCCACCAGGGAAGCCCTGGGTTAAGCCTTGACATGGCCATGGTCACTGACTTTATTTTTGGGTGGAACATAATAACATAACACACATACAGCCTGGTTTAGAGACAGACCAGAGTTCATATCTAGCTCTGCTATCCCAAGCTGTGTGTCCTATGAGACCTGTAAAATGGGGGGATGATTATACCCTGTGTCACAGGGTTGCTTGAGGATTAGGTGAGGTGGAATATCTGGGGCCCTCAGCACGGGACCTGGCATACATTAAGCCCTCGTGGCACATTGTTTCCCAAGCTGGCTCCAGTAATTCCTCCTCCTCTGTGCTGGTATGTGGCTTCTCCCACCAACAGGTAGACTCTTTGTCTCTTCTCCTTCAATCTGGCTGGCTTGTGACTTGCTTTAACTAATAGAATGTGGCAGAAATGATGCTGGGCCAGTTCCAGGTCCAGTTCTTAAGAGAACTAGAAGCTTTTGCTTTTGTTCTCTTAGAACTCTAAGACTGCCATGTTGTGAGGAAGCCCAAGCTAGTCACATGGAGAGGCCATGCAGAGGAGAATCAAAGCACTCTGGCCAAAAGCCCCAGTCCAGCCCCATCTGAATGCAGCTGCGTGAGACCAGCAGAAGTGCCCCGTCAACCCTCAGAATCATGAGAAATAATACACTTCTTGTTTTAAGACACTAAATTTTGGAGTGGTTTGTTATATAATAATAAAAATAAATATTACACTTTTCTGTTCACTTTTCTGTTTGAAGTTTTCCATAATAAAAAGTATGTAGGGCTTTGCTGGTGGCGCAGTAGTTGAGAGTCCGCCTGCCGAAGCAGGGAACGCGGGTTCGTGCCCCGGTCCGGGAAGATCCCACATGCCATGGAGCAGCTGGGCCTGTGAGCCATGGCCTCTGAGCCTGCGCGTCCAGAGCCTGTGCTCCGCAACGGGAGAGGCCACAACAGTGAGAGGCCCGCGTACCACACACACACAAAAAAAGTATGTATATATTAATATATATGAGTACGTATATATGAATAGGTAATAGAATAGATAATGGAAATTGCACTTTATAAATTACAGCTAGTGTTATTTTGCTTCTCTCTTTCTGCCTCTGGGTCTTTCTTGACTCTTTCAGTCTCTGCTTGTCTTTGATATTTTCCTGTCTCTCTTTCTCTATCTCTTTCTCTCTGTGTGTCTACTCCTATCTTACCAAAAGCCCTCCTGCCACTTTCCCGTCCACTTACTTTGCTCCACCACATTGGCCTTCTTGCTGATCCTCAAACATGCCATGCTCTTTCCTGCCTCAGCATCTTGGTGCTTGCTTCTTCCTCTGCCTGAATGCTTTTACCTCCAGTCTCCTCTTGGATCATTTCCTTACTTCATCCAGTTCTCTTTTCAATAGAGTCTCTTCCTTGACCATCTCCTCAGAAATGCTCCTCTCCCACTCCATAAATAACTCTGCATCATATTTCATTGCTACATCTTTATCATGGCGCATGGCATTTATCTAAATGATCCTGTTTTCTTATTTTTCTACTTGTTCAGGACAGGGATTATGCCATCTCCAGTGTTTAGAACTGTGCCTGGCACAGAGGAGATGCTCAATGGCTATTTGTTGAAGGAATGCTCTTATTCAGTAGTACTGATTGACTCTTCTTCGACTCCACCCTCCTGCCCTGTTCCACACTGTTCTGGAAATCGGAAGGATGTCATTTCCTCATTTCCGTGTCCTTTGTCTCACCTATCAGTTGAGTTGCTGTCTGTGGTTCTGAGACCCAATGCTGTGGATCTGTCCTTGGTGCTGACCTAGGCTCCCACCTGCATTAACCTGGGGAGGGCAACAGAATCTTAGGAGAGGGGCGCTGTGAGTGTGATCCAAGCACTGGACCACCTGGGTCACTGACAACAGCAGGCATCTGAGTTCTGAAGGGGGAAGTGCCTGGGTCACTGGGTTCAACAGGTATTTGTTTTATCTATCGCCTATCTGTCTATCTATCCATGTATACGTATACGTATATATATTATTATTATGCAAAACTTCAAACAAGCAGAAGTGAACAGAAGAGTATAATAAACCTCACGTACCCATCTAACAAAAGCAACTCATTGTTAATTGCATTTCATCTGTGCCTCCACCTGCTTCCTCACTTCCTATATTATTTTCATGCAAATCCCAGACATGATATCATTTAATTGTATGTCGTATTTTAATTTTGTTTCTTTCTGTGGAGTTATGGCTTACACGTTGGAAAGGTCACAAATCTTTTTTTAAAATTAATTAGTTAATTTATTTATTTTTGGCTGCGTTGGGTCTTCGTTGCTGCGCGCGGGCTTTCTCTAGTTGCGGCGAGCGGGGGCTACTCTTCGTTGCGGTGCGCGGGGTTTTCATTGCGGTGGCTTCTCTTGTTGTGGAGCATGGGCTCTAGGCACGCGGGCTTCAGTAGTTGTAGCACGTGGGCTCAGGAGTTGTGGCGCACGGGCTTAGTTGCTCCACGGCATGTGGGATCTAGTTCCCCGACCAGGGCTCGAACCCATGTCCTCTGCATTGGCAGGTGGATTCTTAACCACTGCACCACCAGGAAAGTCCCCCACAAGTCTTAAGTGTACAAATTGATGCAGTTCTACCTGTGTATAGACACGTGTGACCATCACCTCAGGCAAGTCATAGAGCATCTCCATTGCCACAGGAGGTTCTCCTGAACCGTCTCCCAACTGATACACCAGAGATAGCCAGCATCCTGACCTCTGTCACCAAAGATTAGAAAGCCACAATATGGGAGTCCAAAAACCTAGGCTCTTGCCTTAACTTTGCTGTTGGCATTAGTATTTTTTTTGTATGCAATATACCATACGTGCAGAAAGTGCATACCATATAGAGATTTATATTGGACAAATGATTACATTTGTGCATCCCCATGAAATTACCACACACCCAGAGAGAATACTGCCACTCCCCAGAATCTTCCTGTGTGCTTCTTTATGACCACCGCCTTCTTCCCAATCTCCAGAGGAAGCCACAATCCTCATGCATAAGGGACTTTACTCCTCAGCCCTGACACACTGTTTTCTCACTCCTTCCTTCTCCCTCCAAGCCCCTCAACACTAAGTGGCCCCTGACCCTGGAGACCATGAATGAGAGACCCCATCACCAGCCTCTCCTTGGTGTCCCTACCTTCAGTCTCACTCCCCCAGTCTGTCCCCTGCGTGCTCACAGGGAGAGCTTCCCATCCCCTGGCTTCGACCATACCTCTCCCCTGCTCGAAGCCCTTCCATGGATCCCCATTGGCTGCAGAATAAGTTCAGGAAACTTTAGCTTCATCTGACATTTTAAGCCCCTCAGGAGCGCTGCCATCACTTCATCCTCATCTTTTCTCTCATTTTGTACACAGACCAAGCCTTTCTGCACTCCGCCCTTCCTCCTTCTCCTTTGCCAATTCCTACTTGTCACTTAAGTGTCTTCTCAGAGATTCGTTCCTATCAGAAGCCTTCCCTGGTCTTCCTCTTTGGAGCTCCCCTAGACCCCCATACTTTATGATTTACCAACCATCAGCCTCTGGGTTTGTGACTGACTCTTTCCAGACCAGGAGGACAGGGTTGGGTCTGACTCATTGCTGGGTCCCCGGCGTCACTGGCTCAGAAGAATAGGTTATAAATGTTTGCTGACTGTCCCTCCCTGCAGCTCCCTCTGTCTCTTACTTGTTCCTGCTTCTGTCCTGCTGTCCCTCTGCCATTTAACAAGTGTTTCCTAGAATCAAGGACATGGAGAACAGGCTGGGGGTTGCCAAGGGGGAGGGGGTTGGGGGAGGGATGGATTGGGAAGTTGGGGTTAGCAGATGTAAGCTTTTATATATAGGATGGATAACAAGTCCTACTCTTCAGCACAGAGAACTATATTCAATATCCTATGTTAAACCATAATAGAAAAAAATATTAAAAAAAGAATGTATATATATGTATAACTGAATCACTTCGCTGTACAGCAGTAATTAACATAACATTGTAAATCAACTATACTTCAATAATAATAATGATAAAAAGCAAACAAACCAAGTGTTTCCTTTCATGAGCTGTGTGGGCTGGCCCTTCTGTCTGGAATGCTCTTCCTCATTCTGTCCACCTGGTGACCTCCCTCATCATTCACGACCCAGCACAGGCTCCGTTCTCTATGAAATCACTCCTGATGCCCTAACCCCCAGTCAGAGGTTTTTTTCTCTACCTGCCAGCCCTTCCAGCCCAAGTACTTCCTTTTGTTTTTGTTTTTTGTTTTTTTTTTTTGCGGTACGCGGGCCTCTCACCGTTGTGGCCTCTCCCGTTGCGGAGCACAGGCTCCGGATGCGCAGGCTCAGCGGCCATGGCTCACGGGCCCAGCCGCTCCGCGGCATGTGGGATCTTCCCGGACCGGGGCACGAACCCGTGTCCCCTGCATCGGCAGGCGGACTCTCAACCACTGCGCCACCAGGGAAGCCCCCATTCTACTCTTTTACTGCCTTTTCCCTCTTACCCAAACCAGATATTTCTCGTGCACTGCAGTTAGCAGACAGCAATAAGTAGGTGTTGAATGAGTATTTTTAAATGACTAAATATTCAAACAGATGATCACAGATCAAGATGACAAAGAGAGGGAGTTCATTAAATCCCGCCCACAACCACTGTGAAGTAGGACCTTGTCATTATTGTAGGTTTTATTTTCACCTCTGCCTGGCAAGTTAGGAAACATAGTCTCAGTGAGATTAAGTAACTTGCCCAAGGTCACCCACAGGCAAAATGCTGAAGCTGGAATTCGAACCCATGCAGCCTGGCTCCAGGCTCTGGAGGGAGAGCCTAGGACCAGGAAACCCACAACCAGGAAATGGGGTTGTGGGGAGCCTGGGCCTGGTTGGTGCTCAGCAAGCAGGATCTATGATCAGGTTTGCTCTGCATGCGGGGTGGGATGTGGCTGTTTCTCCCCACCCTGGGATGCTAGGGACCTTGCCCAATTTCTCCCAGGCCCGCTGACCAGGTAAGGGCTGGGCGTCAGCAGGGAAGCAGGAGGGAGGGAGGGAGAGACAGAGAGAGAGAGAGAGAGAGAGGAGAGACAGGAGTGCAGCTCTTATTTTCCACATTCCAGGAACTGAAGCAGTGAGAAGGGGGCGCGTGTGCCCTGCCCCCAGCATCCTGCTCAGGAAGGGGCTGGAGGGGCTATGAGGAGAGCCCGAGGGGTCCTCCCAGAGTGCTAGCCAGCAGGGTAGCCATGAGGTGAAGGACTATGACGGTGGGGCGGCGCCCCAGGAGGGACGGTGCCCGAGGCACTGCTGAAGGCAGAGGTGCCCCTCACAGCAGGAGCCCTGAAGGTCGATGTTTGTCCACGGGCTGGTGGTGCCCCGGGTGGTGCAGGAGGGCCGGTGGCAGGTTCTGATGTACACAGGGACTGAGAAATTGCCTGGGAGGGGGGCAGTGAGGAGGGTCAGAACCGAGGGAGGCAGCTGCACCTGAACCTCCACCTCAGAGATCACAGCCATGACTGGGTCCTCAGACTTACTTCCAGTCCCCTCCTTAGACCAGAGCCATGCCTCCTCCCTCAGTCCAGGACCATGCCTCCTTCTTTAGACCAGGGCCGTGTCTCCCTGTCAGCCTTGCCCTGACTCCACACCCCTTGTCCAGGCCCTCACACCCTCCCAGCCTCTCACCAAAGGTCATGCTGCCATTGCCCTGGAAGCAGATGCTTTGGTCCTGGTGACACTGGACCCGCCGGAACTTCTCCGGGGTGCAGTCCTCCGGGTGGATCCCCACTCAGGAGTAGCACTTGGCGCCGCTGAGCGTCGGCGGGTTGGGCGCTGGCAAGAGAGCGTGGACGCACACTCAGGTAACGGTCCTCGGTACGGTCGTGCGGGTTGTGCATTGCGCCAGGGCTCCCGTCTGGCCCGACTTGGGCGGTGGAATACCAGCGCGCCGGGAGGAGGAGCCCAACGGAGACCACACCCCTCCCCGGGCGCGCGCGCGGGCCGGGGCCCCTCCCAGCCCCGTACAGTCCCGCCCCACACCCAGCCCCGCCCCTCGCATACGTCGGCTCAGGTTGGCGAGGGAGTCGTGGGTTTGCAAGTTCGCGTTGCAAAGTCGGTCCCGCAGCCGCGCACCACCGAGTAGTTAGGCGGCAGCGCCTTGTCATTCCACTGCATCTGGCCCGTAGCCGGGCCTGTCCAGCAGCCCTTCTGTACCATGGTCATTGAGGCGCGGTACCCTGGGAGCGAGGGGATGGGGACTGGAGCGCTGCCTCCCCCGCAGCCCTTCTCCTCCTCTCCCACGCCCCCTCCTCTCCACCTCTCTCCCTCTAGTCTCAAGTCTCTTGCTCCTCTGTCTTCTCGCTTCTCACTCAACCTGGCTTCTCCCTCCAGCCCTGCCCTTCTCTTTCGTCCCTCGCTCCCTGTCAAACTCTGCTTCCTTCTACACCGCCTCCCCCTCTCCTCTCATCACCAACCCTTTCCTCCTCCTCCTTTTCTCTCCTTCCCCTCTTCCGCTTTTCTGCCCCTCTCCCACCTCCTCTTCCTGGCCCCCCACTGTCTCCTCCTCCCACCTCCTGCCCCCCCATCCCCTCCTTCTTTCTCTCCCTTCTCCTCCAACCTCCACCTCCGCATCTCTATCCTGACCTTCCCTCCCCTCTTCTGCCCGGTTCCTTCCCAACCCCTTGTCTCCTCCTCCCCCCCCCCCCCCCCCCCCCCCCCCGGTCTAATCTTTCATCCTTGTCCTTGTCCCCCGCTCCCGCCCTTTTTTTGTGTGTTTCCTGCCCCTCACCAGTGTTCAGGGATAAGACAGCCTCGGAGCATCCGAGGAGACAGGAGACATTGAGGAATTTCATGCCACTGAGGTCACAGGGCCCGAAGTAGATGTGTTGAAAGCTGTAGCATTGCAGGGCTTGGGACCCTGGGGAGAGGAGCAGAGGTGGAGTGAGAGGAACAGGCCAAGGATGAGCCTGTGCAAGGAATCAGGCTCCACCCTGCATATGACAGCCACATGGGCCAGGCTCTTCTGCTCTGAGGGGAGACAGGCCTTGTTGCCTTGAAAGAAGCAGGGGCTGCTGCTGTGGCTGGTCATGACTGTGTCTACCTCTTGGCACAGCAATGGTATCTGCACCTGCCAGTCCAGGTTTTTTTTCCCCAGGCTCTTCCAAATCTCCATCCTCCTCCAGGAAGCCCTCCAAGATTTTGATAAAGGAGGAAGTGATTCACTCCTGTTCTGCCTATCCCTTTCCCAACTATACTCATGATACCCAGTAGCACTAAAAGGTCACTGATGGAAAACAAACACTCCAGTATAGGCACTGGGATGTACAATCTCATGCTACAAATGCACACGGAGCCAGCCCCTAGCAATACAGATACACACACGCACAGAACACTTAAACACTGACGTAAACACAAAATAACAAAATTGACACAGGCTCATGCAGATCTCACAAATATACACAGAGTACCCTGAATGCATTCACACTGAGTTCTACATTTACAAGCAAAATGAATACCACCCAGACCCTCCAATAGAAACCCCCAAAACCAAGGCACAGGATCTCACACATGCAAAATCACACTCACAGACAGAAAACTGTGTGGATATGGAAATAATCACAACACACAGACCCAGGAACACAGGAAGCCATACCCAGAGAGAGACAAATACAGACCCAAGGATCACAGACGTACAAATAAAATGAGACCCTGAAATTGGGCGAAGTTAGAGATAGACAAAAAAGAGGCCTACAAAAACAAACAATTTAAAATCATATTCAGATGCAAGATACATAGAGACACACGACAGATACACAGAGAGACAGATACACATCAAAATACCCAAACACACATACACAGAGAGAAATACAGGCCCACCAGAGATGCATGAACACAAAGAGAAACAGAGATGCAAAATTATACACACATCTCTTTTGAAAAGAAAGTGAGGCCCGGAGATAAACAGACCCATAAAAGCATTTGTTCAAACACCCAGACATCAAAACCTGGTACAGATAAACACACACAAGCACAGAGACCCACAGGACACCCTGACACATGGACACACAGAGAAATCGAACTCTCTTCCGTGGATGAGCGTGTGCATGTGCGCGCGCGCGCACACACACACACACACACACACACACAAAGTTGTTATATGCAGGCATAACCTCCTTCCCACCTCTCAAATTCCCTGCCTTTGTAGCCACTTCAGTCCTGATATGACTATGTCCCTGTCCTTACCCAAACTAGGGGAAGGGGTTGCCTGAGGATGAGGCCAAGGTTTCCTGCCAGTTCTGGAAAGAGCCCCCATGGCTCCCCAGAGGTACCTTTGAATGGGGACATGGGCAAAGAGGATGAGAAAGGCTAGAGTAGTGGAACAGAGACACTGGAGGAAATGAGTGATATGGAAAGAACAGAGGAGGGGAAGAGAACTGGAGAGGATACAGTCTCCAGGCCTCTCCCAACCAAGACCCAGGAGTCCGGGCCCCCAGCCCCTGCTCTCTCAGACCCAGGAATCAGGGCCCCTAGTTCGCTCCTCCCTGAGTCCCTGGAATCCAGCCCCCACTCTCTGCTCCCTCAGACCCAGGAGAGTCCAGCTATCTCCCACCCAACTGCCCTCTTACCACTGGACTCAAAAGTCTGAATACCTGTGAGACAGAGGACAGCCCCAAAGAGGCACGGCAGGATGGCTCTGGGGCCTCCCATTGCCAGGTTGTGGACCTGAGTGGAGACACCGAGGACAGCTCCTGCTCTGATTTCTGCGTGGCTGGTTCTCCCAGCAAAGCCCCAGCCCGGCAGGCATTCCTCCACCCCCCGCCCTCCCTTGCTTGGGCTGGTTTCCTCCTAGAAAATCATGATGGGGCCTGGACTCCTGGATCTGAGGGAGGAGGGAGCTAGGGGCCTGTAACCCTTAACTTTGGGGGGATTTGTGTTTTGCAGGCTCTCTTTCTACCCTGTTCCCCAACACTGTGTTCTAGTCTGAGGTTGGCACTCATGGCCTCTTGATTTCTCCTCTTCCTCTATCCCAACACGTACCATCTATATGCGCCCACGTCTCCAGACCCAGAGACACAAACATCACCTCCTCCTTGAAGACTTCTCTGACCTGCCACGCCCTCCTACAATCATCCACCCACCTTCAGCCTCAAATACCTCCGTCTCCCAGCCTTGGTCACCCTGGGTTGGGCTAGTGTCTGTCACTGCAACAGGCTGTGAACTCCTCAGAGGCCTCAGGGGATGTTTGTGATGTTGTAGGAATGAGTGAATCGAGGAACTTATAAACAAACTGACAGGGAGATAGAGACTCCCAGAGAGGCAGTTACACATGGGATGCAAAAAGACAGACACATCCGGTGTGGACAGACGCAAATGTAGACACACAGACAAATGCAGACTTGATGAACAGGACATGCCCACAGAAGGTGTTTAATACATTTTTTATTAGACTTTTAAATGAATGAATTTTAAAACATCAGAGGAGATAGAGACACAGGCAGACAACTGGAGGGATACACTGTCCCCTGAGGATTCAGCCAAACCCATGTGGACACTCAGACACCAGGCAGATGGGGACTTCCAGATGGATGCTACCGAGGGTAGTGGGAGCTGATGCCAAGTTGGCATCTCCTGATCTGCCTTGCTTCTTGCGCTTGGAGGCACTGCCTGCTGGGATCACACCTACTCACCGTACCATGCAGGGTGGGTACCAGGCATGTGCAGAGACCTAGGTTCACGAACCCGCAGATGAATGGGCAGAGGGGACACAATAGCGGTGACCAGGACAGCCTTAATGGTCTCCTGAGCTTGACTAAACTCTACACAGACTTCTTCCTGACTTTAGGCCCCCAATCTCCCTTTCCTTAGAGCATTTACTTTAGAAAACTTGTCATTGCCGATTCCTTCTCTGTCCCTTTGAAATGTAGGTAAATTTTCTCCCAGCCTCTTGCTAGTTTTACAGCCCAGGAATGTCTTTCTCAGGGGACCTGGGAGCCACCCCTCCAAAATGTCATCATCAAGGAAGATAGCACCCCTGACCCTCAGGCTCCGTGGGAGGGTAGGAGCCGAACTTGAATAAGTGGCAGTTAGCAAACACAGATGCCTAATTACAGAGAAAAACATTTGTAAACTCAGGAGTAAGTCAGGGTGCTGGACCATCCCATGCACCAACCTCCCCTCTGTCTCTGGCATTTTCCCACTAGCTCATCCAGCTGAAAACCCCTCCCACCTTTTGTTTCAGTGGAGTTGAGTTCAGTCTCTCTCTCTTATTGCCATAGTCTTGAATAAAGTCTCCCGTGCCTGTTTAACTTTGTTCGGTGTGATTTTTCTTTGACAGCAAACACCCAGGAACTGTGGATACTCACTAGGGTTCTGGACTCACCCTCGTTTTGCCAAAACCCTGCTCCTCCCAACAGGCCTCACTTCCCTGAACCTGTTTTGTATCCAAATTATTCTTCCTGTTTCTCCTGTTCCTGCCTCTCTGTCAGGGGCTGGCCCTTCAGGGAGAGGGTGGAGCTAAGGACCCCTGGGGAGTAGAGACTGTCCAGGAAAGGAGGCTGGGTTTTCTGAGGCCCCAGTGGAAGGTGGGGGCATTGGAGGTATTCACAGTTTCAGAGACTGAGGCTTGAAGAGTTGGCTGACCAGCCCATTTAGTGTGTGAGCCTGTGTGTGAGCATGTGTGTGTGTGTGAGTGAGCGTAAGTGACTGTACGAGCGTGCGGCTGTGCCCGTGTGATTTGAACTCTGGTAGCCTTCAGGTACCTTTGGAGGCTGTGAGGTATCAGGTGGGAAGCTCCCCACTGCAGGAGGCTGTCGATGAAAAAAAAAATCAATGGTCGATCTAAGAAAGAAATGGAAAATTTTATTCGAGCCAACCTGAGGATTATAACCTGGGAGACAGTCTTTCAGAAAGCTCTGAGGACTGTTCTGCCCATTAGAGGTCAAAGCACAGTTATATAAGCTTTTGAGGCAAAGAGTTATCCAACAAATGATGTATTGACAGTTTATACAATCCAGATCTGTATGTACAAAGCAAGTAGTGGGTTACTGTGATCCCTTACAAGATTAAGAAGGAACATTATCTCCTAAGGAAGTCTGTTCAATACACACTAAAGGGAAAGGCAGAGGCCCAAACTGGTAGAAAATAATTTTATGTTTAAATTTTTCTTGTCTTGCCATGAAATATAAATTTTTTTTCATCCAGGTAATCCAATGGAGACCCAGTGATCTAGGTCTAGAGATTTTGGCAGGGCTCTTGCATCCATCCACAGAGCATGAACTCCAAGCTCCCTATGAACCCAGAAATTCTTTTTTTTTTTTTTGTAATCACGTTTTAGTAATTAAGCTTTGTAATTAAGTGATTAATTATTTGAGAGATTGGAGAAAATGGAGGATGCTCTGTGGTAGCCATTAAAGAGCTATTTTTAAAACTTTTTACTGTAGAAATTTTCAAACACACACAAGCATACAGAAAATAGCATACCCACTACCCAGACTCAACAGTTTTTAACATATCTACTAATCCTATGTTATTCTTACCCCCTTTGGTGCTCTTAAGGGCATTGAATTGGATGCCTTCATTATTTTCTCAAAATATTAATTTTCCGTAAAACAACATTTAAAAGTTGGTGATTTTCAAAGTGTAACTTTGGCTTATGTTCTAAGATGCAATCTTCAGGAACGTAACGTACAATTTCTAAAAGAGTGTTTAACCACTACCTCGAGTTGAATTCTTAGTCCTATGATGTCACCAAATCGACATATTTGCATATTGAATAGTTTCAAATTTATTTGCGATACATGTATTTTCAATATATTCCAACATTTATTAGATGCTGAAGAGTAGCTGTAGAGCGCTTGAATGATATTTTAAAATTCAGTGGTATAGAAATTTTTGCTGCATTATTCACTATCCAGTTTAAAGGATGGGCAGCACAAGGATTTGCTCCTTCAAGAAGAGAGAAAGGAGGCAGATCGGGGGTATTACCTAGAGTCTCTGCCCAGCCCCAACCACCTACAGGAGCATCCGTGTGGATGTCCTCAACTGCCCGCTGTTTGAGCGTCTACATGAGTCAGTCCAATTGTTACCAAGTCCAAGCTCGTACTGCTTGCCGCAGGACAGACCAATAAATGGAGAGACAAGTTGCTGGGGCCAGGAATAGCGACTTTTTTCAGAAAGCCAGCATACTGAGTAGGTGGTGGACTAGCGTCCTAAAGAACCATCTTGCCCAGGTTTGGATGCTAGTTTCTTTTATAGAACAAAGAGGGGGAGGTGAGGAGGTAAAGTAAAAAAGGTGATAAGGTGTTGCAAATAGTTCCTGGTTCTTCTTTCCTGCAGCCATTCACAGGTCAGGGCCTGGTCAGGATGTTTCCTGTGAGCTTAAACAAAGGTATTTTAGCTTAACACTCAGACATGGGAGGCAGGGTTCCAGGAGATGGGCCATTATGTATACTTTAAGCTACAGGCGACATCCCTTTAGTGATTACTTTGAAGCAAAAGCAATAGAATACAAAGGTTAAAGGAAAAGAAACACATCCAATATGGAGTCAGATTTGTTCTTCCCTATTACAGAATGCCTTGGAAAATTTTCAAGGATCTTTTGTTGTATTCTGTAAGCTTCCATGCACTCTTCCATTTCCATGCACATTTACAAATACCTGGCCTCTTAAATAATTTTCCCCCCAGATTTGGTTTGTTTAAGCAGTTTACTAAATGTGTGCATCACCTGTCTTAGTATATATCATCTACTGGACAAAATTCCCGAAAGTGCTCACATGTAAGAATCAGTGCAGTCTGGGACTCTGTCCATCCAGCAATAATTGTTTTCTTTTTAATTAATTAATTAATTTAAATTTTATTTATTTTTGGCTGTGTTGGGTCTTCGTTGCTGCATGTGGGCTTTCTCTAGTTGCGGTGAGCGGGGGCTACTATTCATCGTGGTGCACGGGCTTCTCACTGTGGTGGCTTCTCTTGTTGCGGAGCACAGGCTCTAGGCATGAGAGCTTCAGTAGTTGTGGCTCGTGGGCTCTAGAGCGCAGGCTCAGTAGTTGTGGCACATGGGCTTAGTTGCTTTGTGGCATGTGGGATCCTCCCGGACCAGGGATAGAACCTGTGTCCCCTGCATTGGCAGGTGGATTTTAAACCACTGTGCCACCAGGGAAGTCCCTGTGTAGTTTCTAATATATGTTCATAACGAACTATTAAATATTCTCTTTTTTGAGGAACAAAGATCTAAATTAGAGGCAAGAGGTAAATATTTTGAATCAACTTAATATAAGCAATGCTTAGTTGATTAGCTTTGAAATGAAAGATGATATGAAATGGTAGAGAATCATAATATCATGAAAATAAAGAGTAATTTTCCTAAATTTTATTGTGAGAAATTTCAGGTGCAAAAGTGTTGAAAATTAGTTCAAATATGATGCATATACCTATCATCTAGATCAAAAGTACAGTTGACCCTTGAACAACATGGATTTGAACTGTGCAGGTCCACTTATACTTGGATTTTTTTCAAAATTTATTGGAAAAAAATTTTGGAGATTTGCAACAGTTTGAAAAAACTAACAGATGAACCATGTAGCCTAGAAATATTGAAAAAAAATTAAAGTTAGGTATGCCATGGATGCACAAATATATGTAGATACTAGTCTATCCTTACATAGGCATAAGGTGAGTGATATTATAAAATCAATAATGTTAGTTTTCTCACTGTTTTATAACTT